CCCTTTGCTTGAATGGCCTTCCAAACCCCTGTGACCCCTGGTAACTGACATTCTACCCTCTACTTCTATGAGGTTGACTTTATTTTAGATTCCACATATAAGTGAGATCATACAGTGTTTATCTTTCCATACCTACCTTATTTCACTAGGCATAATGCTCTCCAGATTCCTCCCCCTCTAGAGTCTAGTCATGTTGTTGCTAATATAGAATTTCCTTCTTTTTTAAGTATTCCATTGTGTATATATACCACATTTTTCAAGTCCATTCATCCATTGTTGGGCACTTATATTGTTTCTCTATTTTGACTATTATAAATAATGCTGCAGTGAATGTAGGAGTACAGATGTCTCTTCAACATACTGATTTCAATTCCTTTGTGTATATACCCAGAATAGGGACTGCTGGATCATATGCTAGATCTATTTTTAGATTTTGAGAAACTTCCATACTGCTTTCCAAAGAGGCTGTACTAATAATGTACATTTTCAGCAACAATGTACAAGGGTTCCTTTTCTCCACGTTCTTGTGACTGGCCCTTGCTTGTATCTTTTTATTAGTGTCTGTGTTAAAATCATCTTTCCCAAAAGCTGGAAGCAAATCAAGGCACAGGAAACTGTTAAATTTTTCCCACTTATTTTTAGATATGATAAAAGTTTTTAAAATGCTAAAGTAATTATCTCAAATAAAGAACTTACGTGTGGTTTTTATTTTTCCTTAATATTCGTTATCATACAGTACCATAAATTGAGATTTCGCTTTTCTTGGGAAGGAAGAATATGTATACGAGCTTGTTCATCTGCATGTGTATGTAACAAAAAGACTGAAGTTTATTTAGCAATAGAAAAGAAAGACCATTTTTATAACATAGTCATATATAGGTAAAGAAGACCTCATATTCCAGGTCCCTTTAGTTAATCATACTGCTATAAAGACCTCACCACAGCACACCAAAAGTAAAACTTATGTTGACAAATATTTCAACCACTGTTCCTGAGTTGGTCACTATATGTCTATTTATATTCTTGAGTGTGTATGTGTGTGTATTATGTATATATGCAAATACATATGTATATAAATATAATTATGTTTATATATGTGGACACAGACACACACACACATATATATATATAACATATACACACATTAGTTTGTTCAAATTAATATAAATGCATGTACTGGTGCTTTCATAAAATATAATATATTCCAAATTGAGTTCTGGATTCAATTTGTATGTTCAGTTTTACTCTGTTTTCCCCTGAGAAAGCTTTTAAATATATCTGGGGCAAAAATGTTGTGGTAGTTTCAGCTGTTCCTGCAACCACTTTTGTTATTTGTGTCATTATTATTGCTGCATAATCTGAACATAAAAAAGCTTGGTGCTGTAACAAATGACTTTCCACTACTGACAGTTATAGCAGCAGCATTTCAATACTGATGAAAAATTTCCCAGCAAGAGATCTGGCCAGGTTTACATAAACCAAACAGGAAATGGCTGCCACTATTCACATTAAATCCAAACCGTTTGGTGTAACTTTATGTTTTACATTAATATAAAACCTCTTTCATTCTCAACTGGTGAAGTTTCATCAATATTAAGGTTGGAAAAAAATAACTTGAGATTTGATATGTAGTATTCTTGTTTGTCCTTTGATAAGATCTTTTAAAGATAATTTTTTAAAGGTTTTTTAGTTTTTGATTTTATGAACTTTGTAAATTTTTATGATAGGGAGAGGTTTGTTATTACTTTTTCCCAATGGACTGCTAATAGAAGTTAGCTTGTGTAGCCCATGTGCTAGATGCTGTCAGTATCAAACTGCCTTTGACTTTCACACCTCTCATGGGACTAGTAATTGTTGTGTTCAAACAGCCTGTAATTGTGATCCCGCTGGCTTTCTCAGTACGCTTCTGGCTATTAGAATCATTAAACAACTCAGCACCTGTTAACAGCATTGTAAATATTCAACCCTGCTTGTGTGCAGGTTGAGTCCAATATAGAGAAATCTTACAGAGCTCAGTCTCATAAATTAGCGCTTCTGACAAGTCAATTATTGTGAAACTGGGTTTCTCTGTGAAATAAATGAAATAGCATGCTGACAAAAAGGTAGGCTGTCTGTTTATGGCAAAGAGAAGATAATGGCTTGATGATTCAATGCAGTGAGCATGAAACTGCATTTTATCCTTTACCCGTAATTAAACAGTTGTGAAATGTTTGTGTTTAAATAACCAGTAAATTATAAATTTGTACTGCAGAGAGTGCAACCTGAAAACAGACCTTTTTCTTAACTGTTGCATGCTTTTTCAAATTAGTAAAGTGATTATTAAAATTAATGATATATAATGTTTTAAGTTAAATGCTTATAATTATTCAGGCTAAAAGTTGCACAGTAGCTAAAAAACATTCACCTTGTAAGTAAAGGCTTTATTATGCTACTAATAGAGATCATATAAATCTGAACTCTATCACTTATTCACAGAAAAATGTCAAAATATATTAACTCCCAAAATTTTATTAACCCAAAAAACTTCATTTATATTTAGTTTAATTATTTTACAATGTCTTGCAAATTGTATATCTAATTAAGATATAACAATATCTTACTTTTATAAGGATTTGAAAATATTTTAAATGGACTTAGAACCTCAGTCCAAATATTAACAAAGAACAGTATTTGGTAAACATCAGTGAAGTTCAATTTACTTGAATTGAATTTTGTATTTCTTCTGTTATGCAAGTCAATAAGAATGTTGTTAGCCACATTCAGAAAAAAACAAAAACTGTATTAAGAATAAATAACAGTGAAATATTTATGTTTTCTGCACAAAGAAGTGTGAACTTTTAGCCAGTTAGATTATGAATGATGTTTTAGTGTAGTCATCAAATAATTTATTATAGTCTCAGAAACATCATTTAGGTTGATTTTTTTTTTCTTTATGGCAACTTACTTTAAATGTTTAAGAAATATTTACCTTGACTGTATTTTGTCTGGATGAAAACCACAAATTCATCTTTAAGAAGTCCCAATAGACTTAAATAAAGTTTAGAAGGGATATTAATCCATTGAAATATACCTTGTAAATACAGTAAACAAAATGAAGCAAATACAGTAAATAAAATAAATATTAAGTAGAACCTGTAATTTTTCACAGATAGCTTTTTCCATTGATAGTTTTAAATATTATTTGTAAGTGTACCAAATTTATTTAGTAAAGCGTAAAATGATAAAGTTGACATCCTAGTTATATTGTAAGACAATGGCTTATAATACTCAGTAACAGCATCCATTAGTTAGTTTTCAAATGACCTAGTAAATTTATAGATAAAAGTGGAATTTTATTTTATTTTTTCTCCTTCACAATATTTTCCAAGTGTGTTTTTTTTGTAATGTCAGTTGCATAAAGAATTGTTTATTCCAAAATCAAGGCAGACAAATTTGGTTTATAAAAAGAAGAAGAGTTTGATTCTTGCTCTACAAATGGTACTGCTTATACAGTATCCTGGGCACATTTTTACTAGTGTTTTCAATTTAAGAATAACTCTATCAGCTATGTATTAGTCCTGACAGCTAAAAATAATATTGGAAAATTTATAGGCTTAGCAAGCCAAAAGAATGTGAAATACAAAGTAAGCACTTACGTTGCAAAAAGTTTGATGAATTCCACTTCTTGGAAAACAATGAAAGAGTAAAAATATTTTTAAAATTTGAAATGACTGGATATTTGTATCTTATATGGCTTGAATGTCTGGAATTTTTGTTTTCACCTCTAAAGCAGAAGACATTATTCTAACTAAATACTCCTCCTTCGTCATTTTTCAAAATAAAAGAAATATTTTCTAATGGCTAATAATTCTGGTTTTTCACTTCCATATATGCTTGGTTAGACATAAATTTGAACATTTTGTTTAAATTAATGACAGCACTAGGTTCAGTACTTATTTATCTCTTAGTTGATAAATATTGCTTTATTTCGGTCCATACCAAGAGCTTTTCTAGAAAAAGCAATAATTTTTAAATAGATCAAAATTAAAACAGCTATTCCTTTATAATGGAAATTACTTTTCCAAATAAATTCCAGTAGTCTCTTACTGTAATTCTTATTTAATGGAGCCTCTCATATTTGGGTGTACCTAGCTATTTGCACTAACTTTTCTTCTAATGAAAATATATCCTGACATTATTAGCCCTGCCTTGTGTATTTTTAAATAATTTTTTATAATTTACTAACCTTGAGTCTCTTCCTTCGAAGAATGAAAAATATCACAAAAATTGTCATCTAGATAGTGTTCTCCATTGCTCTCAAATTGTGGTTTTCTTTAGTCCTCTTCCATTTAAAATAGCCCTCTTTTCCCCGACTATGACTGTTCCCTTCCTAGTTCTGTACAGATGTAAAACCATCATGATGGGGTCTTAGAGATGAGAACCTGTTCTCTAATACCACTTTCCACTCCCATTCTTTGATGTGGATGGAGAAAAGGGAGATAGGGCATATAAATTATCCATGCTGACTATGATACAGGATTCACCTAGTAGGAATTAGGGCACCACTAAGATTGTAATCCCATGTTCTTCGGGTGTGTTTCCAGGCACAGATCCTAGTGGCCATAGGGTTTTGCCAAGAACTTCTCAAATTTGCAGTGAGGCACTTTCAGGTAAATTGTATGTCCTTAGACCTTTGGCTTGGAAAATATACAGAGCTGAACCTATGTATTTTCCCTATATTGAAGCTTAGTTAGAATACTTTATTTTTACCCTGATGATGTCTCTTCTAGTCATTACGATAACATTTATTCCCTAAGCACTATGGGAATAATAATTGACTAAATTGTTTCAAAGAACTTTCTACCACCCAAGAGCAATAGTTCCATGAGTTTTGTGAAGTTACTGAGGATAGGTTTTATAATAAAAGTGGAATATATTTATATATATTATGTGAAAATTAGGTGATAGTTTTAGTAGAAAATATCTTGAAACAAATGATAATAACCTTGCTTTTTTTCTAGCTACTACAATTTGGGTGATGTGAGCCATGATTCTGTGAACAAGTTTCTGTCCCATCTGATTGAGAAGTCCCTGATTGAATTGGAACATTCCTACTGTATTGAAATTGGAGAGGTACAACTTAGTGATATGCATTCTAATTGAAAACATTGCCCAACTTTTTAACAGTAGTTCTTTTGCTTCTAGTACTATCAAAATTTTTAACAAAATTATTTCAAAAGCACTTGTCTGAATTATTAATTTTATAAAGATATGTACTTTCATTGTACTCTTCATTTGTTATTTTATCTTCCTTTTGAAATAGGATAATCGCAGCATTGAACCTCTGACTTATGGCCGAATTGCCTCCTATTACTATTTGAAGCATCAAACAGTTAAAATGTTCAAGGACCGTTTAAAGCCTGAATGCAGTACTGAAGAATTGCTTTCAATTCTAAGTGTGAGTTTTTCATATATTTCATATCTTCTCTTTTAATTTAGGACTTAAAGTTTTGTCATATAATTTGTCTGGAAATTTAACAGAAACCATTTATAAAGCCCTTTCCTCTGTCAAACAAGGTCACTACAAAGCAACATGTCTAGACTAAGATGTCCATAGATAAGGTAACTATATAATTTATCATTCAAATTTGAATCTTTCTGAGTGTGAAATGAGGCCCTATTAATATTTAAGCCAGGATAGTAGATGTAGACTGGACTGTCCTGAGCAAGGCAAGTGATCACCCTAGCCTTAAATATGATAGCCTCTTTGAATTATGATTGAAAGCTTTTCTTATTACTCTTTGGATGGTTTCTGTTGAATACTTATCTGTGATGTTATTGAAGTTTATTTCATAAGCATTCACATAATTAATTTTTAGAATTAATGTCACGACAGCTGTTTCTCTCATCCTCACAAATACCCTTTCCAAAAAACGACAACAGATACATCAGATGGTAAAAAAAAAAAAAAAAAAAAACTATCCTGTGTTCATTTGTCCTTTTTTGCCATTAAGAGTGTCTTATCCACCTTTCCTTCTACATACTGTACCCTTCTGACTTTTTTTTCAGTTTGTTGATTTTAAGTGTAATAATTTACCACAAAATTTTGTTAATATATTAGTTAGGATATACATATGTTCTGATTGTTATCTTATCCTTCAGGTGTGTTGGTGCTTTTTTAAAAAGTTGAGAACGATTGGACCATTCTGTCTTTAAAGTCCTTCTCTTACAAATTCATTGATTCTGTGGTAGTTCACTTAGTAGCTTTTTTCCTTCCTCTCCTGTTGCTTTATCATTCTTAACAAGCTTCAATATCCCATTTACAGGTTTTCAGTTTCTCAGTTTTTTCCCCTCCAAGAAGCTAGTGTGTAAATTTTGTGACCTGCATAGTGCCATATACACTTTAATAAGTTCAAAAATATTTATTAATGAATTGATTAACAGATGGAAGGATAGCTGGATCATGTAATAATCAGTTTTCTATTGTTTGCTCTGTAGAAAAGAATAGAGAACTAAAATATATGAGGCAGGTACCAAAAAAAAAATTTTTAAGAAATTAAAAATGTATTTCTGATAGAATAACACAAAATATAAAGAATTTTTTTAGATACTTAAGAATGAGATTTATATCAGTTCCTAAGCCAAAGATTCATAAAAGTAGGATTTCTCTGGGGGAGAGACTGTTAGCACAGGCAGCAAAATAATGATTAATAAATTTGGGCATGCCTCTTAAATTAGTGTCTGTTAGATTTAAGAATATAAGCTTTTCATATTTACCTAATCTCATAAGATAAGCATACTTTTCTGTCTTGGGAACATGTATAATAACAGCTAACACCTTTGAGCAGTTTTTATGTGCTAGACATTAAGACCTTTAAATTAATAAACTCATTTAATCCTCATAACAACCACTCATTTGGATATTAATAACATCCCATTTTAAAAATTAACCAACTTGTCCAAAATGATAGTATGCAGTCTAGCATCTGAGTATGGGCCCTGAAACCATCCTACTATACTTTCTCTCAAGTCACACACACACACACACACACACACACACACACAAACACACGGAAGTGGAAGGCACTGACTGAGGTGGGAGGTACAAAGTAACTCAAGTTAAAACTAGATACACACTGTAAAGGAAATTTGTGAAAACTATATGCCTATTACATTCTGTACCCCCATTTACTCCACTAAAAAAGCACAAAAAAATCTATACAACCCCAGGGGAATTAAATCATCATCCCTTTTGCTTCAGTCTTCTCTTTGAAAAGGCATTGATCACAAAAGGTCTGTTCCCATCCTGTCAGGGGCATGTTTCTTTCTGGCATTACACTATATAAAACCACTTATGCTGATCTCTTGGTATATTTTTGTTAAATTCAATTCTCCTGTCAATAGCTGAATAAGTACAATCATCTGAAAATACTTGTAAGGAAAGCTATATAATGCAATATTTATATAGATTTGGTTTGGTCTACTCCATAAAATTCCACAGCAAGAATATCTTTTTCTCCCATACTGTTTAGCCCAAGGAACCCTCAACTTACACTAGATTTTGTCTCAGTCTGTATTAGCTTAATGAGGGTTCGTTCTAAATGAAGAATCACAGGACTTACACTGACAAATAGATTTGTAGATATCGCATTGTTTTCTTAATTTCTTGCCTAGGAATTATTCTTTATTCACTAGCAAACACTATGTGTAACTACCAGCAAAATGCTAAATAATAGAGCAAGATTGCGTAACTATGGTGTAATTTCCAGAAATTGTTTTTATTATGTTTCTTTAAATGCTTTTTTTTAAAACCATGAAAAGACTACCAAATGACTCACGGAACCTCAGTATCCTCTCTACTCTCCCCTCCAAAAGTACATATTAATCTCACTGTGGTTTTAAAATATGGAGTAGTCAGACAGAAGCTGTAGTGAGCAGGATGATAATAGCATAAGATGAGGAAAGCTGTGGGGATAACGTTAGTGTTTCAAAGATGTTTTAATTATCATTGTTTTTGTTAGAATAAGAAAATCGCATTATGTTTTTGAACAATTCACTCATATAACATTCATTATTCATGCTTCCTTTTACTAAGATACGTTGATTGATGTTTCTAAAGTCATTTTTAAACTTTAGTTTTGGAATTTGTTATTTTAATATTTCCGATAACATTGCAACTGAAAAGCTTCTATTCTTTTATTAGTTTGAGCTTACTATAGTATTTTCTTAAATTTTATTAGAGAATGAAGTTTTCTTATTTCTTTTTTTTTTCCCCATTTATTTATTTTATTGCATTTTAGGTTTTGGGGTACATGTGAAGAACATGCAAAATTGTTGCATAGGTACACACGTGGCAGTGTGAATTGCTGCATTCCTCCCCATCACCTACATCTGGCATTTCTCCCCTTGCTATCTCTCCCCAGCTCCCCACCCCCCACCATCCCTCCCCTATTTCCCCCCAACTGACCCCAGTGTATAGTGCTCCCCTCCCTGTATCCATGTGTTCTCATTGTTCAACACCCGCCTATGAGTGAGAACATGTGGTGTTTGATCTTCTGCTCTTCTGTCAGTTTGCTGAGAATGATGGTTTCCAGGTTCATCCATGTCCCTACAAAGGACCCAAACTCATCGTTTTTGATGGCGGCATAATATTCCATGGTGTATATGTGCCACATTTTCCCTATCCAGTCTGTCGTTGATGGGCATTTGGGTTGGTTCCAGGTCTTTGCTATTGTAAACAGTGCTGCAATGAACATTCGTGTGCACGTGTCCTTATAGTAGAATGATTTGTAATCCTTTGGATATATACCCAGTAATGGGATTGCTGGGTCAAATGGAATTTCTATTTCTTGGTCCTTGAGGAATTGCCACACTGTCTTCCACAATGGTTGAACTAATTTACACTCCCACCAACAGTGTAAAAGTGTTCCTATTTCTCCACATCCTCTCCAGCATCTGTTGTCTCCAGATTTTTTAATGATCGCCATTCTAACTGGCATGAGATGGTATCTCAATGTTGTTTTGATTTGCATTTCTCTGATGACCAGTGATGATGAGCATTTTTTCATATGTTTGTTGGCCTCATGTATATCTTCTTTTGTAAAGTGTCTGTTCATATCCTTAGCCCACTTTTGAATGGGCTTGTTAGTTCTTTTCTTGTAAATCTGTTTTAGTTCTTTGTAAATTCTGGATATCAGCCCTTTGTCAGATGGGTAAACTGCAAAAATTTTTTCCCATTCTGTTGGTTGCCGATTCACTCTATTGATTGTTTCTTTTGCTGTGCAGAAGCTGTGGAGTTTGATTAGGTCCCATTTGCCTATTTTTGCTTTTGTTGTCAATGCTTTTGGTGTTTTGGTCATGAAGTCCTTGCCTACACCTATGTCCTGAATGGTTTTGCCTAGATTTTCTTCTAGGGTTTTTATGGTGTTAGGTCTTATGTTTAAATCCTTAATCCATCTGGAGTTAATTTTAGTGTAAGGTGTCAGGAAGGGGTCCAGTTTCTGCTTTCTGCACATGGCTAGCCAGCTTTCCCAACACCATTTATTGAACAGGGAATCCTTTCCCCATTGCTTGTTTTTGTCTGGTTTGTCAAAGATCAGATGGTTGTAGATATGTTGTGTTGCCTCCGAGACCTCTGTTCTGTTCCATTGGTCTATATCTCTGTTTTGGTACCAGTACCATGCTGTTTTGATTACTGTAGCCTTGTAGTATAGTTTGAAGTCTGGTAGCGTGATGCCCCCCGCTTTGTTCTTTTTGCTTAGAATTGACTTGGCTATGCGGGCTCTCTTTTGGTTCCATATGAAGTTTAAGGTGGTTTTTTCCAGTTCTGCGAAGAAGGTCATTGGTAGCTTGATGGGGATAGCACTGAATCTGTAAATTACTTTGGGCAGTATGGCCATTTTCACGATATTGATTCTTCCTAACCATGAACATGGAATGTTTCTCCATCTGTTTGTGTCCTCTCTTATTTCGTTGAGCAGTGGCTTGTAGTTCTCCTTGAAGAGGTTCTTTACATTCCTTGTTAGTTGTATTCCAAGGTATTTTATTCTCTTTGTGGCAATTGTGAATGGAAGTTTGTTCTTGATTTGGCTCTCTTTAAGTCTGTTGTTGGTGTATAGGAATGCATGTGATTTTTGCACATTGCTTTTGTATCCTGAGACTTTGCTGAACTTGCTTATCAGTTTCAGGAGGTTTGGGGCTGAGACGTTGGGGTCTTCTAGATATACAATCATGTCGTCTGCAAATAGAGACAATTTGACTTCCTCCTTTCCTATTTGAATGCCCTTTATTTCTTTTTCTTGCCTGATTGTTCTGGCTAGAACTTCTAAATATTATATTGAACAGCAGTGGTGAGAGAGGGCATCCTTGTCTGGTGTCACATTTCAAGGGGAATGCTTCCAGTTTTTGCCCATTCAGTATAATATTGGCTGTTGGATTGTCATAAATCGCTTTTATTAT